TTAGGAAGCACAGTTGGGCAGATACCTCAGGCTCACTGGGTAGTCAGCAATGCTCCAGGAGTGAATTCCAAATAAAGTCAGAGATGCTACCTCAAAAAGAAGGCGGAGAGTGATCAAGGAAGATGCCAGGCATCAACCTTTGGCTCAAGACAGACATATACACACATAAGCATGCATGCACTTGAACAAGCACACACATACATCCACACATATATATCGCATGCACACACCTATCCTCTCTCAACTTTATAACATTCCCACCCGATGCACCAATTCTCTTTGTACTCCAACACTTATGGGAAAGGGAAAATTTTTTTATTAATGCGCCTTCTTTACTCTACACTCATTTCCTGTATCCCTGTAGCCAATGAATTCAGGTTTCAATCTTCACAATTCTAGTGGATTTGTTTACTACTAAAGTCACAGATAATTTTCTAAATCTAGTTGTTTCAACAACTCTGTTAAATGTGATCTTCATTGCGTGACCCTTTTTTCTAAAACCATATACTCCCATAGGCATTTTCATCAATATCAGAAGAGCTCACTCTTCTGCTTTGCATCAGTCCTTTCAACATGCTCACTCTCCTGCCCCTGGTGTACTACATGCTGTTAGAAGGATTCTGCCAACAGACTATCTGGGCACAAAACTCTGGTTTTCCATTCACTGGCTGTGAGACTTATGGCCAGTGCTTTCACTTCTCTGTACTCAGTCTCCAGTCTGAAAACTGGGAATCACACTAGTGGTGGTCACTTGTCTCCTCGGGAATGGAATTAAGGACAGAACTCTCTCCTATGTTGATTAATTGGGAACATGATGAGTTTGAGGTCTTAAAAATGGGACCCTATCATGAATTCTGCTCTAACTTCACCTATACATTTTGGCCCAAGATTTAGTCCCACCCCTTTTCTACTATAGAGGAATTCTTTAGAGTTTGTTCCAGATGTAGAAATTTATACTGTAAACTGAAGGTTACCAGTACCCTGAAAAAAAAAAAAACCAAACGAAAGTTTCTTGTTCCTCCTGGTGTGGTTACAGCTTCAACCGACAGAGCAAGGAACACTGCCGAGGCAGGACAGTACTTTTTTTCCCCCACAGCTCTTCCTTTCTCTCATACACACACAGGAAAGGAACTTTTTTTGACACAAATCTTGCCATGTAGAGCCTCTCCAGTGATAAAATTACAGGCACACAACACCACATTTGCCCTTATTCTTTTTTTTAAAATGAGATATAAGTTGGGAGACAAAGCAATAGATTTTGTTATGGAATTTGTTTCTGACATCCTATTTGGCATACCCAGTGCCTTCCTCCATTTTCTTTGTGGTCCCCTCTCCCTTTCTGCTTTTATGGCAGGCACATTGCATTACCCTTACTGGTCCATGAAGTGGAAATTAAGAGTTCTTTGGAAAGTCAGTTGGATAGTGTTTTCCTAGGGCAAACATGTGAAGAAACGTTTCATGAAAATAGATACAGGTGTGGAAGGCTAAGGAAGACTCCTGAAGGAACATTTTGCTGAAGCAGACACAGGAGAGAGGATGTTCTGCTAAAGCAAGCACATGAAAGGACACATGATGAAGGATTCATTGCTAATGACACACATGTATTGGTCCACCTTACACTGTGTAGTTGAGCTGCATTTGCCAGGACTCCATAGAGAGAAATGTACCAAAATGTACTACAGTTTGTTTCCGCTTCCACTCCAACTGATTGGCAGAGTGGTGTCAGCTGAGGCAAGACTTGTGCTGTGGCAAGACACATGGAGGACATGTGATGTTTGGAGAGAGATAAATAGAACTTGATGGACAACGACAGAGGCTGAGGTCTTATAGAGCCAGCTAGCTGTGCAATGCTTGTGGGTTTCCTGTCTTCACTGTTCTACATTTTGCTGAGAGAGGCACAGCTGAACTTTCCTGGTATTCCTGTTGGTCATTCCTTCTGACTAAAGCCAAGGCTGAGGCTAGGTCCTGTCACTGCTATTTCTAACCTGATTCTACTGAACTGAACTGCTGGTGTATCTGTGAAGTGTTTGTGAGTGGATTGAGCTGCCTGCTAACTAACCTGTGAACTGAACGGTCTATTTCTAGACAACACAGATGGTAGTGGCTCCAAAAATTTTCCTAAACAGGTCCACACCCCTCCATATCCTTTCTTCCCTGCTACTTCTTGTGGGTGATGGCCTAAAAAAGAGGTTACAGCACTTAAGAACCATCATTAAAAATTTGTGTCTGAAAAAAAGTTACAGGTCCCCTCTCTAGTTAAGATTTCTCCTTTTCAACACACACACACAACTGTGTGTCAAAGTCTAGTTTATTTTACATGATACAACAATCTTTCATTACATTCATCTCTGCAAAAGTCATTTTTTCATGTGTAAAAAAATTTCATTGTGTATACATACCACAGTTTTTGTTTCTAACCCATTAGTCTATCGATGAATTCCAGACTGATTTGGTTTCACAGCTATTGCAAACGGGACCATAATAAACACTGGAGTGCAGGTGTCTCTTTTGAATGCACATCCTGCCTGGGTTGAGTGAAGCCAACATGCTTTTGTCTACACCAGACTTCTTCTTGTCCATCCAGGCATAGGCTTTATCAGTTTGGCAACACTCTGGTACAAGCCTCCGTAGCAGAGTGCTTGGACATGTGGTACTGCTAGGTCAGGGCAGGGCCATCATCACCACCCGGAAGCAGCAACTCTTGCCCACATTAACTACGTGTGATGGAGGCTTCTGGATCCTTTTTTAAAACCTCGTCTCTCTTATAGGCTCAAGAAGTCATGTGTCCCCAAGTTTACTACAATTTCATTTTTGAAAAGATTTTAAAAAAAATTTTATATATGTATGAGTCTTGTCTGTTTATACCTGTGTGCATCTCATGTAATCAATGAGCTAGTCCAGAAGAAGGCACTGGATTCCCTGAAACTGCAGTCATATGCTGCCCTTTGAGGTCCGGGAATCCAACCCAGATCTTCTGCAAGAGCAGACAGTGTTCTAAACCAATGGGCCATCTGGTCTCAAAGCATGTGAGAAAGTGCATGCATGCATGCGAGCGCACACACACACACACACACACACACACAGAGAGAGAGAGAGAGAGAGAGAGACAGAGAGAGAGAGAGAGAGAGAGACAGAGACAGAGACAGAGAGACAGAGAGAGACAGAGAGAGACAGAGACAGAGAGAGACAGAGAGACAGAGAGACAGAAAAAGAGAGAGAGAGAGAAAAAGAGAGAGAGAGAGAGAGAGCACTATTACAGCCACCACCACCACCAACCACCAAAAAATGAAATAAGGAATTAATAAATATTGATTAATTTAAAAATGTAAACTTCTTGAAGCCATGCAGGTTCCCAGTTTGCATTTGTGAGTCCAGTAGTAGCTACTAGGAATATAAGACAGTAGTTTAAACCCCTGTGTGCTGACCTTTGATTCATTTCCTCTGTGACTTGGATTTCTTCACCACTTTCCTAATGAGGAATTAAAAAAAAAACCCTAAGAGCTAAAACATGAGATTAAGTGCTTTGCAATCCATAAGCGGACTATAATCCTGAGGATGATTAAACTCGAAACATTAGCTGTTTATGGAAAATATTCAATGTAAGATCATTTATGTTTTCTGTGGAAGAGGCCATAGCTTCTAATCTTTCTTTGAAGAGCAGCCTCCAAAAGAGGCTGAAGAGCAAAACAGCAAAGAAGACAATGTGCGGCAAAGCAGAGCTTCTCTCTTACTGTAAGGTCATGGGTGCTGTGTCAAACCTTAAGCTCACCTTATCCCTTCACCCCATGGCTAAAGGGAGTTAGCTAACTAGGACCAGAGTGTTTCAGCAATCACAGGAAGACAGCAGCAAGTGGCTATTATTCAAGCCATCAAAGCATATACTGACTAGATCCTGGGCACATCTCAAATTGAAATTATGTTAGCAGGAACCATGTTGATAGCTATTAGGGGTGGGGCACAGCACTTTAGGCTCTTGTGCACATGTCATTAACATGCTCCTTTCCCTTTCTAAGATGCCTTTAAAAGAAAGGATAGATAAATTGGTTTCAAGGAAGCCACAGGTATAGTATCAAGACTGAGAATAGAAGAGAAGGGGGAGCTTTGGCTACCTGTCAAATTTCTAAGGCAGTAAACAAATGAAGAGTTAAAACTAAAATAAGACAAATGTACACACATTATCTCACTTGTGGATAAAAGCACAATTCAAAATGTAAATCTTCTCACTCATGGAAGAAAACTGAAACACGGATTAAAACATACAGCACGATGAAGGGTGGGATAGGTGGGAATCCGTTAGGTGGTTTAGGAGTTACTCAGAGTCTAGGTAAACTATCTTCTAAGACTTATTTATAGTCTAGAATGCAAAGGTCTCATATATATGTGATATATATGTAATATTTATCATATATATTTATATAATATATAAAATATTTATTATATATATGACCTTATGATATATACACACATATATATTATATATAACCTTTAAATTCCATATAGAGAAAATCTATCTATAATATTATACACACACACACACACATATATATAAAATCTATGCAATGAAATACAAATACAATGCATTTGGATACAATGACCCAGTGCTACTCATATCATTTGGTGCATTCTAATTAGTTGCATATTTTAAAAAGCAACCTGACGCCCCTAGAACTAAGAAAATCTACATGTTGTAACAGCATAAGTTCGATTAAATACCAGAGCTCAGCACTTCCACTGAACTCAATGGCATGGTACATCAGCGATGACTGGCATCACACTGATTTGACCATTTGGGGATATTCCTTTAGACATTTGTAGTTACACGATGTTTACATAAACTCTTCTTAGTTCTTAGTCAAAAGTGAGATGGAGCGCCACCGAGTATCAAATATAAACACACCAAACCTCAGAGTGAAAGAAAATGAACATACCAAAATAACAAAATCCCAGCTTCAATCCTGACCCCTGATTGCCTTTTATTCACGGTCACTGGCAGCGCTTACCCTCCATTACAGAGATTCTCCAGACGCATCTGTTTACTCCAATCTGGATTCTATCTGCAATGAAGTGTCACCTGCCAAGCAGAAAATTGAAGTGCACATATAAAATAAATAAATTTTAAAAGCCGTGCAGGAAAAGCGAAATAATATTTTTGACAGATACTCTTTCCCATTCAAGAAATACTAATTATCCCAGAAACTACCCTTTAATATTGTGGTCACACAGCAGTTGCATTTGTTATAACCAGGTCATCATCAATAGTCCATTTAACTATGCAGTACAGTTCAGATTTCCAGAATATGAAAATGTTCAAAAGTTTAAACAAGAATACACATCCTACCACTGTCTGGCCGCACATCTATTTTGCTTTCCCACGATTCTATGTACAAAGCTCTGGAGAAAGTGAGTTACACTGGAGGAAAAGGAAAGTACCCATATGACTGTGGTATTTCCCTAATTATGCAGCTATGATGTTGGCGAACAGCTGACTCTGGGCTCCTGAAGATCCAGCACACAATGAAGTAGCAAGAACGTTTCCCCACCAAGTTCTTTTTATAGACTCACTAGGTGCCTCTACATAAATGGACAGTCATCACCGTTAACTACTCACAATGGTCAATAACTGGCCCAGCTCCGCATTAATTCAGGCTGCAGCTTAAATGCCAAATGCAGCGATGAAGCCCACAAGCTGAGAGGACAAACTGACAGTTCCTGACAGCTCATGCCTGGGCCAAGCTCTGAACCACAAAACAGGGCAAAACTCCCATCTGCTGTCCATCTGCCATCCTGCCCCTATCAAGAAAGGTTATACCACAAGCTGCAGACAGATGGGCTTTGCAAAGATCTATTAGGGGGGAAAAAGACAGTCTGAGATGATTAGAATAATGACCTTTGGTTCAACACAGAAATCTCAGGAGTAATGAAAATTATACACAAATCCAAGGCCTTTTAATTGTATAAAACAGATATCGCCTCTTTTGCCACCCATGAAAATAAACCGTTTGTCTTCCAGGCGCTGAGCACGTACTGTCTACTCAAAGATGGTGATGTCAGAGTGAGTGTGTGAGCATGTGGATATTATCCTCACTCAAAGTTGTTTTCCTCAATGACACATCAGTGAATTTGAACAATGTTATTAAATGAATAAAACAGAAATCCTTTGTAAGTTTCTGATGGTGTGCGTTTTCACCGTGATCTTATTCTATATAAACAGGACATTGGGATAAGTCAGCTCATGTATTAAACAAAAGCCTTATGACATAAAGGGAACTGCAAACTTTTCAGCTAAAGCAAAGCATGTGTTTTGTTTCCATAGCAAAGGAAAAACAAACAAACAAACAACAACTTCTCACTAGGCACATCCATACCCAAGACAAAAATGCAGATACTTGGTGCATTCAACATACAATCTATACTACTGGACCAGGCAAAATGCTGGATGTTGGAGAGAGAAAGAGGAAGACACAGATGGGCTTTGTCTTTAAGGTGATTTAGTTCATGGGAACATTTATGTGAACAGTCAGGAGAAGAAAGGAACTGGAAGCCTGCGACTGGACCTGCAGTTAAAATGATTACCTCAAATAGTTCATAAAATGCACAGAGTTTGCATTTGAGGTGTGTTTTCATTTTCTTATATTCAATGCATTTAAAGTTTTTAAGTTTTCTTTACAGTTTATGCGGGACAAACAAGTATGGCTTTTCTGCATTTAGAAGAAAGACAAATCCTATTGATTCAACTGAGCACTCCCTGGTGATGGGAGGAAAAAGATCTCCAGCACATAGAGATATATCTAGCAAAAGATGCTACAGCAAGAAAACTCCGAGTGAGTTCATGCATATGAACTTTGAGAACAGGCTACTTGACTTGCCAATCAGAGCAAGCTAGCTCTGGGAGATGAAGGTCAGTGAACGGAAAAGAAAGTAAAGGATGCCTTTTGAGGACAATGGAAATTGTTTTACATCTTGAATTGGGCTACAGCTGTGAAAAAAATGCGTACGTATGAGAAAGCCACTAAATTGTAAGATTTGTATATTTCTCCGAATGCAAAGTTTTTACATTGATTCCAAAATGATAACACATTGAGTGTGCTATGATAGAACTGATCAGGGTTTTTTTTTTTCTTTTAAAACTCGTAACTGTGTAACAAAATTATCTAACAAAACGGGGCAACATTTTAAAAGTGATTTCAGAAAAATTGCTATTTTTGTACCCATAATTTCAAGGGTCAAACAAGAATAATCAGAGTTTGGAAAGTACCCATGAGGCAATTCTTTCATCAGCGCTGTAATGTGCTCCTTATCTAAGCCATATTTAAGCAACTTAATCAAGTTCAGGGTCAGAGGGTATCTGAAGTCTATGGGAACTCTCAATCTCAGTCTTTATCTCACACCATACATCCTTCATTTCTTAAAGAACAATTTAACTTCATTGTTACATCGAATGACTGTGCCACCCCTGCTCTTCACTTCCTTGAGAAGCAATGGGTCACTAGCTCTCCCCCAATGCAGAAAGGCTAAGCTAACACCAGCCCCTGATTATTCTGAAGGAAGACAAGTACTACACCACTTTCAAGACACACATCTTTCAGAAATGGTTTTGAAGGACTTTGCTATTTTATCTTTATATAAACTCAATTGCACAAAGAAGTTGTCGGTGACCCAAGGTGTTATTAGTAAACAGTAATACTGTCACTATTTAAAAAGTTAGTTTTTCCCCAAGCAAAACATATTTGAATCACCACAATCTCCAAGGACTAGCTAACCTTTGCAGCAATATCAGTTTTGTCAGTGTACAGCTTGATTCTGATGGCTTCTGGTATTTCATATAAAATCAGCTTTTATTTCTCTTATTAAGTGGAGGGCCAGAATTGTAGACCAAGAGGAACAAGCAAGAGAGCTTAGCTAGCATTAGAAAAGCCCTGGGTTCAACACTGAGAACTGTAAAAACAAATAGTATTCAGAGGGTAAGAGGACACACCAGCATACTCGAAGCCTTTGAAATAGTGAAAAGTGTAATCAGAATATAAATCCTAAAGTAAAACATTTCTGCAAATATTTTCTTTAACTCTGTGCGTGTGATACGTGTGTAAAATGGAAACGATTTACAATAACTTTTGCCCTTCTCAATATACTCTGCGCATGTGAGGAAAACTCCCTCTGTCACAATGACCTGGCTAACTTTGAAAAATGTACACCTTGACCTGTAGGCAACTTACTTATAGCTCAGTTTGACAACAGCTCAGTTGTGGCAGAGGAAGCTTCCTGTGGTTCAGGTCTCACAAAGATCAAAATGGAAAGCTCTAAGGAAAGGGTTTTTGTGTGTTTTCATAGCACCAGAAGGTACTAGGCAGGCCACAGGAGGAGAGAGTGAACTATGGTGCTATCCAGCAGTGAATTCCGAATGCTTGCCAGGCAAGATGTACCACTGATTCAATGGTAGCATGAAGGTTATGAGGGTAACTACTACTTACTGGATTTGAAGCCTCCTCCAGAGGAGGGAATTCATGCCTGGCCCTGCAAACCTAGCCATATCTCTGGGCTCTACAGGAAAACATACTAGAGTTGTTTAGATATGTTGATAATCTATCCTCTAAAAATGTTTATACTTATAGGTCAATGCTGTTCTCAATCTCCTCCCAAGGCTCTACAGACATCAAAAAACAGAGGATTGTAAAGAATGTGAAGAGGTAGACAAAGAAGAGAATGATGAAATGGTGTCCTCCAGACATGGCATGGCTATTGGACTCACAATCCTCAGTTATGGTTCTTTATAAAACACAAGATAAAGCCAACAAGATCATGCAACAGTCCTGCAAGGAACATCAACTGGACTCAGTGTATTGCATTAATTTTAAAAAGACAGAACTAAAGGGGTGAGGGACCAGAGGAGTGGGAGAGGGGAGCTGTGGGTGGGTATGATCAAGATACAGTGCATACGTGAATGACACTGTCAAAGAATAAATAAAAGATATTAAAGACAAAAATGAATTAATAAAAAGAGGAGTCTGTACGTCTGTGAAAAAAAAAAACTACCAGAGGTATCACAGGGACAGGCAGATGACAGAAGAGTCAAACCTTGGGAAAGTGACACACATAGCAATGTGTTTCCTGCTTCATTTTTTCTTTTTGTTTAAACAATTTTTATGATTTATTCATTTCTGTTTTATGTGCATTGGTGTTTTGCTGGCATGGATATCTGTGTGAGGGTGTTGGACCCCTTGAAGCTGGAGTTATGAACAGTTATGAGCTGCCATGTGGATGCTAAGAACAGAACCCAGGTGCTCTGGAAGAGCAGCTGGTACTCTTAACCACTGAGCCATTTCTCCAGTGTCCCCACACTGTCCCCACACATTTACATTTTAGTTCACATTTTTTTCTTAGGCACCTGAAGATGCCAAGAAACTACAAAGTAAACCCAGAGGAACCACCAAGAGGAGCTTGGAAGGAACCAATGAGCTGAGATTTGGGAAGAATCTCAGAAAATTATGGGATGGTGCCATAATTCTGTGAATGAGTCTCATGTATCAGATGGATTCCTCAACTAGGTATTGAGGAAAGTGTTGGGAGGTGGACAGATATGTATGTGTGTGTGTGTGTGTGTGTGTGTGTAACCCAAATTTGCACATGTGCAGGAGAGCCCATCCAGGATACCAAGGTTAGAGAGCCATAAACTGACACTGAGCAGTCTAAAGTGAAATGGCTTGACTGCTTAAAAAAAAAAAAAAAAAGTGCCATTCTCCAGAATAGTATAATAGTATAACAGGACTCTCTCTATAAGCTCTGTACAACAGAATATTCACAGGACCAATAAAACAACTAAAATCACTTAATATACAAAAGTATAGGAAAATACTAATTTTTAAGAAAAAGCTATAATATGACCTGATGAAAGAATTCTAAAGAGCTATATTCCATGAATAAAAAAAATACAGTTCAGTGAAAATATGCAAGCTTTCACTAGATATTAAGCTAAAGGAAATTTCTGGGAATCAAAAATACAAGAGTTGAAATGCAAAACTCAGTGGGTAAATCAAAAGCAGCATGAAAACCGTGGAGAAAAACTACACATAGATTAGTAGGTATTGTCTGAGCAAAAATAAAAATGGTTCAAGTGAAGGCAAAGAGACATTAACAGACTCTCACAGACCTCAGTGCAATCTCAAAACATCTTCAGGATGTAACTGGATTATGAGAAAAAGAGGAGAACTTGAGAAAGAAAATAATTTCTCAATAACGCCTAACACATTTCCAAACTTGGCCAAACACAGATTTACAGGTTTAAGAAGCCCAGCATTCTATAATAGTAGAGAACTTGCCTCTAATTTTACCAGAAAACTAGGGGGGAAAATCTGAAAACAAAAAACAACAGACACA